AAATTTCAGCCATCTACCCTTTTCCGGATGTGGTATAAAACTCCTGTTCCGGAAGCTGCTTGAAATTCGCCTTCACATAAGTTTCGTCGTCCATGACAACTTTGTGAGCAGATTCGTATACAGCTTTCGGGACCGCTGCTTTGTCGACGTGTTTTGTTTGTAATCTTGGTTCGCCACCTTTACCTTCTTAAACGTCGACAACCCGGCTCGTTTCTTGGCCCGCTGCACAGTAGTATGGGAGACATTGAGGTTGCCAGAGACGTCCCGGATGGAGAGGTTAGGATTCCGCTTATATTTCACCGCCACCTTCTTCGTCGTCGCTGCCACGTCTGGATTACGATTGCCGCTGGTTCCAGGCTTTCTGGCGGTAGACAAACGCTTCTCGAACACTTTTAAAACGTTTGTCACGGTCAATTTGGCCACATCCAGCAATTTTGCCAACTTGGCGTGTGAGAACGTCGGATTCTTTTGCTACGCGAGCAAAATTTTGACACGCTGCTCCTCTTGCTTGGACGTCATTTTGAAAACTGGAGAGCAAACGGTGAAAACTCATCATAGCAACCATTGTATATACCTCAACTTCCAAATGCAGCATTTCAGGTTTTTTCGAGGGGCACGCAATAGCCTTTTTGACTGCGTTGGATTTAAAGTACAAGGTGTTTAACTATGTAATTAAGTAATTCAAAATGAAAATTAAGTCTGTCATGTAATTAAAATTAATTTCGCGTAATCAAAGCAGTGCCAATGTAATTACTGTAATTAAAACATGTACTTCAATTTGATTACGTAATTAATGTAATTAAAAATTAATTTTCTGTAATAAATGTAATTAAAGCTACACAAATGTAATTAAAAACGTACAAAAATCCTTATTCTTGAACTATTTAAAAAAATGAAGAAAACCCTTAACACATACTCGAATGAATTAATTTATTCAAAAACTCTTCTTACACCCTGAAATACGAATATCAATGTTTTACTAGACTACAAACATGACCAATTCTGCGAATACTTATACTAAATTTCTTGGAGCACCATGCTAGAGTTGGAAACTGAAATAATCCACTCGCGACAATCGATTTCACTTTCGTTTTGTACGTTCAACATAATGTCGTATCTAGTGCACTGTATTCGTTGAATAATGCGCTTTAATGCAGAACTAGAATAAAATCGATTGTCACGAGTGGGTTATATCGGTTTACAACTCTAGCGACAATATACAGTGAAAAGGAAGTGATACTCATAATGAGGGCCGTGATTGCCATACAAATGAAATGGGAATCACTTAGTTGTGACGACAAGTCTTCAAATTTTACATTTCCTTAAATTCAAGCAATTCCTCGAGCAAATTTCCTCCCGATCAAAAAATGTTCGAATTTTAAGCCATGCTCGCAGCACAGTTCGACAGATGATGATATTAGCTTGTGCCTGAATTAACAGATTCAATGGAAGATGTATTTGCATTTGCATTAATTTTCTGATGTTACGCGTGAATTCTTCGATTATTTCAATATTTCTTTCAAACTTAAAATTATTATACTAATAATAATTAACAGATTTAAGGCAGAGTTCATTGACAAAAAAAATATAATCAGGTTTTGGTTGCAGACACTAAGATGATTCAAACGAATTGTGTGCTTTTATTTGTATTATCGCCAACATATGATCACATCCGTATTCAGAATTGACGCGATAGCACTTATGAAATTCGCCTCCCCATTGTTCATCTTTCCATGGGTCAACTAAACAATACTATGGGCAGAACTCCAAACCGATAGGAAACGATGAGTCTCATGTGTACAGGACACGAATTGATCGTTACCGATCAACTTAACACACTCAAGTTATCCGTGCTGGGAAGACAATTGCATACCAGCTGCGATTTTTTCCCGGAAGTAGCGCAGTGTGTGAATGTCCAAAGTATTCACCAGCTCCCGTGTCCGTTCAGCTGTCTGGGATAGCAAATTTGAACTCTTAATATGGTCATTACCGACGGATTTACGTAAAATAGTGAAGTTTGATATGTCACACGAGGGGTTCTGGTTCTTATTGGGAGTTGGAAATCTACCCGGGGGGGGGGGGGGGAAATTAAATGGGACTGTGGACTGTCTAAGACCATTATTAGCCGTGCAGAATCATGAAGTTTGAAGTTTGCCCGGGGACACAGGAACATGCCCGAGAGGGCTAGTGTGACCGTCGAGTCTCATTAAGGCCAGTACCAGCCAAAGTTTGGAAAATCATGAAGTTTGATATGTCGCACGATAGGTTTCGTTCTTGTTGAGAATTGGCCACTTCCCCGGGGGCACCGGAACATTCCCGGAAGGGCTAGTGTGACCATGGAATTTCAATGAGGCCATTACTGGCCAAGATTTGTAAAATCATGAAGTTTGATATGTCGCACGATGGGTTTCGTTCTTGTTGAGAATTGGCCACTTCCCCGGGGCACCGGAATATTCCCGGAAGGGCTAGTGTGACCATGGACTCTCAATAAGACCATTACTGGCCAAGATTTGTAAAATCATGAAGTTTGATATGTCGCATGATGGGTTTTGGTTCTTGTTGAGAATTGGCCACTTCCCCGGGGCACCGGAACATTTCCGGGATGCCCAATGTGATTGTGAACCATCGAAATAGCTGCCACTGGTCCAATTACATCGTTTGAGAGAAAAAAAAACCATAATGTTCATCGTGTGAAGCCGAATGCCGACCAAAAGTGACCCCAACGAGAACCGATATAACTCAGGAACCATGAATTGATCAAAATATTTTCAGATGTATTCAGAAACTTCAATAGATTCAAGACAAAATTCAATTTGTTGTAAAGAAACATATTGAGAAATTATGTTTTTAGAGCTAATTGATTTTTGAAATCTATGCAAATTTAGACGTTAGGCACGCAAAGGTTAACATAATTTTTGTAATTCTGTATTCGTTCGCATCCACCAAATTAAATTCGTTATTTCTTATGTTGAACCAGGTAGCACAAACAAACATTCCTTTCATTGTCGCATTCTCCGGTGCTTTGACAGGGGTGTGATCCAGGATATAGTTCATTGCCCTGCCAACACCTCGGCAGTATTGAAATCCGACTACATTTCTAATCACGAACCGATCGTTGCATGTGAATTGGCACCAATCACCAACGTAGATTTCCTCGTAGGTCCCAGGAGATGTTTGTTTATAGGGTCTATTCTGAAGTCATAACAGCGGTAGCGATACAATTTATCAGAGCTGACATTATCCTTAACGTAGCAAAAGGGCCTGTGAAATTTTTGTTTCACGGGCCAATAACGAAAGGGTCTAACGGTACGCTGGGGGAAATTTAAGTACATTTCTCGTTGTACATTAAAAGGAGTTAATGTACTTAATTTATGCGACTTGTAATTAAAACTGAAATTTGTACTTAAAAGTAATTAATTCAAAACATTTCCGACGCTAGTAATTAAAGTAATTAATTATGTAGTTAACTGTAATTATTGCACTTAAAAAAGGCTTGCGTAGGAGTTAAAGGTTTTTGCGTGCCCCTCGGGTTTTTTTTCAAAATCATTCTTAACAGAAATACACCAATTTGAAGGTGTTGACCAATTTTTGCGCGTTCCAGACTTTAGTCTGTCGAGATTAGATAGATAGCCAAATTTGGTTCCATTTGCTGGATTAGTTCTCGATATATGCAGAAATTTCTGTTTCATTTGTATGGGAGCCTCCCCTTAAAGAGGGAGGAGGGCTCTCGAACCATCATAAGATCTTTTCTCTGCCCCAAAAACCCCTGCACTCAATTTTTTGGTTCAGTAGTTTCCGAGTCTGACAGACAGACAGACAGACAGAAATTCATTTTTGTATAGGAGAAATGGCTCTAATGTTGGCCTATGGATCTAAGATTGGGCCCATCCTTAAAAAATCTGCTATTTAACAATTTTATCTAGATTAACGCGTTCTAATGGATATTTTTGGTCGCCATTTAGTCGATTGCTGAATTTATTTATGGGCCCAAATTATGGGCATTTAGGCCGACATTACATCCATTTTCCCTATATAGATAGATATATATATAACATTAAAAAAAACAAGACCATATTGCACACAATGTACACCTATACCCTATTCCTCGCTCTCGCTATCTCCTGATTTATCTCGCTCGAAGTGGATAAGTAGGGTATAGGAACCATCACGGAACAATAAACGTGCTAACTGACCTACTGACTGAGTGCTCTGCTGTCAGTGACTTAATCCTTTAAATTTGTCGAACCTCTTAACGGAATCCCTTTATGAAGAGCTTTGAGTGGGTTGGTTTATTTCCTTTAAATTCCGTTATAATTGCTTATCTTTTGACAGATACGCGTATTTCGTCTACTACTTGCAGACTTCATCAGTGCCAAGTACTCAACAGTGTGGTGTTGAGTACTTGGCACTGATGAAGTCTGCAAGTAGTAGACGAAATAGCCGTATCTGTCAAAAGATAAGCAATTATAACGGAATTTAAAGGAAATAAACCAACCCACTCAAAGCTCTTCATGTCAGTGACTTGTTTACTTTCCAATCATTCAAACACTCACGAGGCAGTGAATGATGAGGCGGATGGCTGTTCATATTCATATGAAAATGACTGATGGAACCTTACTGCTTTGCGCCCTGCTAGGAACACATTGCATTTACCCTTATTGCTTATGTAAAAGATTTCCGAATTGATGTTTTAAGCATTTCATTTGACCATTGAATTTAAAATTTTGACGGTTGTGTGGCAATAAGAAAATTGAAGTTGAAACTTTTCCGTAAGACTTGATCTCTCATTCTCTTGATTTCTCAAAAGCTGCAAATCATCCAAACTCTCCAAACTTTCTTAGAATACATAAGAACCAGTTATATGCAAGCCATTTTCCAGAATTTCTCACCCTTCGCATAAAATAAATAAACAATTCCGGTGGACTTTCCGATTGAGACTCAAACGCCAAAACAATCCAGAATTAATTACATACACACCCTAAAACCAAAACGACACCCACCTTTGGTGATGAAGCTGTACTCCCCGCTGGCGATCAAGCTGGCCGCAGCCTTCTCGTAGTTCCAGAAGCGCTGCAAATCATTGGGCTCGATGACACTGGTCGGGGGCTGCTGGTTCAGCCCTGACGTGGCCAGAATCTCATTGTACTGGGCCTCGTGCATCAGCAGCAGCGGCGGGGGTATTTCGTCCTCCGGGGACCGCTCGCTCCCGTAGCCCTGGTCACAGCCGGTGTCCACTGCGGTCCGGTGGAGTGGCAACTTCAACTGAATGTCCGGACGATGGTCTGAAAAGGCGCGGAAGAGCAGAAGAAGGAATTTGAAGATGGCAATGAATTTGTAAGTATGATGATGCAGAGAGAAGGACCACCCGTCTATGTATATGGATAGTGTCGGGTTGAAAATGAAAGCACTGTGGTCGTCTGTCCCAAAACACAGCATGACCACAGCCGATTATTGCTATCTTGATGCTTCCCATCCATGCATAGAATTTCGAATTAATGCCAAATGAAGTCTTTTCGGGAAGGATTCTTCCGTACATCAGTGATTTTCAGCAAAAGTCCAACATCAGAGTTTAAGCCTTCATGATACATGGCATGGCAGTGTGGAAAGGTTCCGGCAGGCAGGCAGGCAGGCAGGCAGGCAGGCAGACAGGCACCGAGAGACTTTCCGGAACAGATTTACGTAATCCTTCTGCCACCGGTGGGTGGCGTTGGAACTTTTACATTGGAAGAAAGATGCAACTTCAGCGGAAAGAAATGAGGTTTCTTTTCTACTCGTTGCTTTGTTAAAGTTGAAACCAAGCTCTACTTTTGTGCTTCTGTGAGAACATACATATGGGTTTTGGCTGGTTGGAGAAAATTTTCCCTCAGAAGAAGCAACTTTTGGTGCTTTCTGCCCTATGCTGCCGTTCTTCTAGTTTCCGGTGCTTAGAGACAAAAGCAGTTTTTCGCTTAGTCGTTCGGTTTTCGATAACAGATTGTGTCATGGACCATGCAAGTGGGTGCTTGTTTTAAATTATTTAGAACAACACCTTCTACCATGCCACTGCAGCCATGGTACAACGGTGGTTGGTTGCATTTACGATTAGTTGTTGCACAATCACCGGTAGGGTGAGTTTGTGTGTTTTGTGCAATAGATGAAAACAAATATTGCTGTTAGGATAGTTATTTGTTGATACCTACTTCATTTCCACGCCAAGTAAGTAGACGACCACATATGAGTCTTTAGGATTTGGATGAAATTTGACATACGCTAATATCAAGAACAGACCATGATAAAAAAAAGTATCTATGATAATACATTTACAAATACATTGTATGCCGTAAACTCTTTCATACAAATATGCCTGAATGAAAAAAAAAATATTTCAACAAAGAAGTGTCAGATGAGCCCAGATCTAGGGTGGACAGATTATTTTTTTCATTATCGGCAGATTCTCAAAACTTTTATCGGTAGTGATCGGTAGGCTGTATTAAGAAGGCTTTTCCGAAACTTGAAACCATTGTGAGTGGAGGAGGGGGGCGATGAATACAAATCACGCGCAATTTTAGACTTTTGAACGTATGGTTTTTTGAACACCTATACGATTTCCTAGGTGTCCGACATTAGTTTTAAACACAAGGTAAACGAAAAGAGATTCATCCTTCCGCCATCGGTTCAATGATATGAGTAATTCGTACCCCTCAAAAATATGCGAATATTAACAATAACAAGTAAGTGCGAGTAGGACGAACGGAACACGAAATCAAAAAAGGGAGAAACAGAAAATAGCATTAAACAGAGAAAGTTGATTAAACGTAAAAAAAAACTCATTCGTACACGGTAAGAAAAAAGTACCCAACGGCCAGTTCACTTTTACCTACTTTTGACTAGTTTCCCAAGTAACATGTTCAGCTTAAAAAGTGCTATTTCAACAACTACATAACCTGTACTCAGCTAATAAACTGTGTTAGCACTACTTTGGAAGCATTTTTACACTCAACTAGGTTTATTTTTAAACGTTTACAGTGACGTTTTCAGCTTTAACTCCGCTCCTTTACAAAGCTGAAGTAACTAGTCGAGAAAAGTGATTAACTATAATATATATTAGAAGTGTAAAGTTTAAGTTAAAATTCACCAAATGGAACAAAGCCTTAAAATCTGTGATTCTGAGGGAAAGTGAAAAATCGGTAGTTTTGAACCCTTCGTCTGTGAATCGGTAGGCATCGAAAATATCGGTATGACTACCAATAAATCGGTAGGTCTGGCCACTTTGCCCAGATCCCTGTTCAGAGCATTGGTTTCTGAAGCTGCCACCAAGGACAGTGGCGCTAATGTCCACACCACTTCTTTAAGCTTCTTTTATGTTTGCGGCATAGATTCGACACGTTAGAAATTCCTCTTAGAATAATTAATTTGAGAAACATGAGTTAATGAGAAAAGTCTTACGTTCGATTATTACACCGCTTACGATAAAAACATGATTAAATAAAATTTCCTCAAAATGCTAGCGACAAACACCGCATCACGAATGAACGGAGCTTAATCGAGGAATGCTTACAGCAGCTGTCAAAATTGAACTAAAATTTAATCAGAGAACCACAGAGTTTTTCGGCTTCACGTATCTGAATGACACTAGTGTCATAGATGTGGATGAGCCCTATTTAGGCCATAGACATCTCTGACATTTGATAATTTGGTTAAAATTAAAAATATAGGTGCGCGTATATGGATACGGTTTTATTGCACTTAAACTTATGATTTACCAAAGTTCTGCACTAACAGAGATTAGTCACGTTTAACGCACGCACACTAACGGGTGCATCGGCATGTAAAGTTGTTTATTATTTTTCTCTAGCTAACCTAAAGAATGTATGAAATTAGATCTGTCAAAATGAGCTTGACAGCAGTGATGTGCTTGAACGCGTTCATACTTTGTTTAGAATCTATAAACCGAACCGAAAGCTGACAATTGTACACCCTCCGTTCGTTTCTCATGGTGCGAACGTAACCGAACTATGCGTTGAACAAGTGCAAACGGACCGAGCGAATGGGCAGAACGATCGCTTCGTGTGTACGTAGAAAACGGTTCGTGTAGGTTTTTTCGTAGCCAAATCTTACCATTGGTGCGTGCAACTTTTCGAACAGATGCTAGATGCTAATGTCATTTTCGTTTTTGCGGTGTAGCACTGGTGTAGTGTAAGCAGGAATAAGCGCGAGTCTTTGACAGCTCAACATCATTTGTTTGTAAACAAAGGTGCATCCTATATCTACACCCTAAAATATTTCGGTGTACGGCAGTGTAGCACCGGTGTAGCTACACCGCAAAAACGAAAACGACATAAGAGAAGAGGGGCGAAAATGATCCACTTTTCTGTCAAACGTGAACCAGCTCCTGATTGGCCGATTTCATGTGCGTAAGATAGAGATAGAGATAGATAAAGATAGAGATAGATAAAGATAGAGATAGATAAAGATAGAGATAGATAAAGATAGCGATAGAGGAAGAAATAAAAGAGGAAGAAGCCAATTGTTACCTCTTCCTCTTAGGGTAGATGTTAGATACTTTCGCAATCATTCTCATCTCCAGAGTCGACTCCAGTGCTGTGATCATTTGTTGTTTCCTCTTCCAATTCTAATATTCGCTCTTATTCTCGTTTTCGTTCGAATCGTATTTTTCATACAAAATATTTTTGTTTTGTATGGAAAATACGGTTCGATCGAAAATGAGAATAATACCCCGTTCACATAAGAGCGTATACCACGTGATGTATGCTGTCTGGTAATGAACACTCGTACATCCAGTTTTCACTGGAAATTTTGTGTATGAGTGGTCATTGTAAGACAGCCTATATTACGTGATAAAGGCTGTAATGTGAACGGGGTGTAAGGGGGATTGCCTGTACTGTCTTCATGAGAAAAACTGCCTTCAAGTAATTTGCCCCGTTATCTGTGATGACAGGATACAGTTTTTTAACTTTTTTTAACTAACATCGTTTTCTATTTCAGAACAGTTTAAAATATACTTCTTCCATCAACATCCTTATACATGTAATATTCACATCATGTTAATATTGTTTTAGTTTTTAAACAGTTTTATTAGTTTAAAATTTTCTGCGCAGTACATCACTTCTTCTTCTTCTTCTTCGCATTTCAAGCTTATTGCATATCGCATATTAGCTTATTGAGTGTTCTCAACTTAGTGCTCTAGATGCACTTCCACAGTTATTAATTAAGAGCTTTCAATGCCTGTACTATTTCTGCATTAGTATAATTGTGTGGCAATCACACTCTATGCCCAGGGAAGTTGAGAAATTTTCCAACCCGAAAAATTCCTAAACCGGACCGGGAATTGAACCCAGCCACCTCCAGCATGGTCTTGCTTTGTAGCTGCGCCTTTACCGATTACCCCGAGGCAGTACCAACCTGGTCTATACAAGGTGTAGAATTGTAGGCCTGAATGTATTGGTGCGCTTCGTTTTTCACTAGGGTTTCATTCCGCTTCGCACGATTCGTTTCTTTCATTCACTCAATCACCCTTGTAGTGACGTCATAGCGTTTGTTTCGATCAGCGTTTGCATAGGAAAATTAATATGGATAATAGAATCGATGTATGTTCCCAAAATTTATGAATGGTCTGCCACTAAATGTTGAGATAATTTATTGATTATTGAATTATCACACTGTATACCATGGAAAAGCAGCCTGTTTGTGAGTTTTTGCCTGTTTTCAAGTAAGGAATCATCATAAAATAAAAATTGCCAGCTGATATTTCGCGGCGGCTTTACAAAAGAATACAATCAAGCAAAATCATCATGCAAAAATAGCTAGGATTTGTTTTACTACTCATTTCGCCAATTTCCTTTCGAGTGTTATGACGTCGTCACCATCGTCTCCCGCAAAGTTTATATTTTTCCCTCTACCAACACATACGTCAGGGCTAGATCTCCACACCTTGTATAGGCCAGGTTGAGGCAGTACATCAACGTCGTTCAAAAAATTGCACGCACCGTGCGTAAGTTTCGACAACTGAAAAACCTACACGAAGCGTTTTCTACGTAGGCACGAAGTGTTCGGTTGTCCCATTTGCTTGGTTCGTTTGCACTCGTTCAACGCATAGTTCAGTTAAGCTGAGTTTAGACAGGGCAAGTCAATTGATCAAGTCAGTTGAATTCATCTAACTTGAACGCGAATTGAACGTGTAAACCATCCCTAATAAAATAACCATAAAAGAGAGCTTAACTACGTGTTCAGGGTATCATCCAAACCATTTGTGAGATAGTTTACCCAATCCGGGGTACAGTTT